ACGGAAAACGCGGTCGACGTTTCCGTGAAGCATAATAAAGGAATCGTTGGATGGATACCGTCTGTACTTAAGCATCGTTTCATCCCTAGTAATAGTTTCACGGATAATTTGATGGACCATTTGCGTCTGCTATAAAATTAGGCAAGAGGCCTTCGATCGACTCTAACCTATAGTTAACGAGCTAGGATTAGGATGTTAAGAAATTATAACTTCATACCTTTGCAATTTCTCAGCGAAATTAATTATCTCTCTCTAGAGAGCTATAATAAATAAACTTGTCCTCTAACTTCGCTTGAAGATGGATATTTACAATGGAACGTACCCTTGTATTTGCAATAATGGATGATGCTGTTGTATGGAGACGCTATCTCAATTTTTCAAATCGGAATTATATCTTGACGTACTACTGATAAACGATGGATAAAGGCAAAAGAGTTTGATCAAACATTTCTAGATACATATATATGTAGATAAATTCAAACATGTATTTTCTCGCTAAAGAAATAGAGAGAGTTTATTGTGCTTCGATTGGCTTATCCGTGCAAAAACAGCAACAGAATAACTTGCATCGCGAACACGTGTTTTCTTGTTGGTACCGGCGAAGATCTTGGTATAATCAAAAACCGTGTAACCAATTTAACAGCTGAGCCGAACCTAACCTTTCAGTCGGTGAATGTGGTATGTTCATGATCTACGAAGAGCGTACATGAACGCGCACAATGAAGATCCACAGACACGATAGCGAGGCTGACTTTCTATTCCCATTTCAATGTTCAATCAATACATCCCGTGTATCCAGTGTTTCTACTTTATTAAAACATCGCTTTAATTAACGTCCAATTGATGTGGGTTTGTAATTCATAAAGGGATAGGAGAGGCTCCTTGTTAACTGTTCCTGTAAATTGTTTATGGTTATTCTGGTTGCAATCTTAAAAACAAGTGTTCACCTTTACTTTGGATCGATCTGTTTATTTAGTTGGAATCGTAGACAATATATTTACTAGTGGGGTGAACTAAATTATTTCATTCAAATTTTATAGGTTATAGATTAAATCGTACAAAGAAATGGTTGCCAGCATCATTTTATTGAAAACGAAATTTATATTGTAAATATCATACTACATGCATATTACACGTGTAATATAACCTTTTCAATCTACATAACCTCTGAAAACACTTCCCCTATCACCTAGTATACCAGTTCCCTAAAATACCTTTACATAAGAACTTCTTTCATAAAAATCTTTTTCATAGTAATTTTTATTTCTGAAATACACAGTTTTCTTGTAAAATAACTAAATGTACTTATATACACTTCCTCTCCTTAACTCTCAACTAACCTCCATTTAGCAAACTCTACTCCCCAAAACATTTTCTCAAGTCTAATCTTGTATCTAGCATTCTTCTGTTAACATGTACATACTTATCAACTTTCTCTATCCCTAATTCAGTTTCCACAATAACATACTGCTCTGATTACCTTAATGCTTACACTTTCCTCAAATATGTATTTCCTAATCTCATTAGCTCAGATCTTCATCACATGTGACTTTCCACACCCTTATAACACCATTATTCTCACAATGTACATACAACGTTTCTCCTTAAATCTCTCATCGTGTTTAGTTATTTCTCGACCGACTTCACACGAATTACCGGTTCCGCCTCTAAACAGCCATCGAGAACGGTATAGCCCGTGTAACGTTACGGAAATCACGGCTGTCCTATTGTTCGTACCGCGAAGATGCTCTTCACCGTTCGTTGGCTATGTCGTGGCTGTGATTAACATCATTTGCAGGATCCCCCGGGAGGGGAACTCGTTAGGATCATTAAGGTTCTTACGCTCGGTACGAGCCATCGCGTCAACGCGTTTGACAGAACGTGTAATCAACAACGAGCACGACGATGAGGTTATGGGTCCCCTCGTCAACGCGTTCCAATAGGTAGTACATATGTATGTTATACGTGGTATAATGTGTCCATTCTTGAGGACAGACGTCATACTAAAATCCAATGAAATACGATTCATTCGGCTTGGCCGAAAGAAACGAAAAGAAAAAAGAAGAAGAAGAAAGAAACGATAACGTCTCTGGTGCACGACCATTCTCGGTCGTTTCGGAATCGTCAAACTCGATCGCGGTTTTATCTGTCGTTCTCAGTTTTAATTTCGCCTCTTTGCTTATCGGCGCCGGTTCTTGGAAGCTTGAAATTATCTTCGATGGGAAAAGGTGGTGTGTTGCTCGTTACGCGGAGATTTATTCTAAAAAAAAGCAGCGTCTCTTCCCAACGTACAGCGCCGACTTGTAACAAGGAGATAAAAGGGAATAAGACAGAGAAAGAAAACGTTCCGCCGCGTTCGTCAAAATGAAGGCTTTCTATCTCGCGTTCTTGTTTCGCTGTTTTTCGTGTCCCCTTGTGTGCGAGTATCGGCCGATAGGGGGAGACTCGGTGGAAGTCGCAGCGCTTATCTGTGGGCAATCTGGCTGGGCATTTTTATCGGGGTCTTGAACGTTTTACTTTAGGAGATTATAGTCTTCCGATGTTGTTCTCCATGTTATGTTTATTGGACGGAAGATTACGAAGGGAAATATAATAAATATTGAATATCTTCGTGTTTTGTTTTTTTTTTTCCTTTTGTTCTTTCGCTTTAATTGTAACGGAGAAAGAAAGATGGCGACTGCTGTGATATTTGAGAAGATTAAAAGATATAAAAACAGATTGATGTTAAAAAACTCATTAGAAATACTTTTTCTTAATTTTCTTAAATACCAAGAAGACATTAAATTACCGTTAAAAGATAAAAATTCCATCAAAAGAATTCTTTCGGGTATATAAAAGGTTGAAATAAAGGTTACAAAATTGTCCCAACATTTAGAGATATAATTTCGATTTCGTGTATACGCTCGTTAAATTCGGCTTGCCGAAAGGAATTCAAATAATTGTTCGACGTTGACTGCTCTTAGAAATCGTTGACGAAGACAAACGCTTTTATCCAGCCCCGAAAAAGTATGCCCCTAAAAGTTCAGCCTCTGGACGCCGATTTCTTCACGTTCATCGAACCAAGAACAGAAAGGGTTAGTAGAGAAGAAGAATGTCGCTCTGCGTCGCAGGTTTCGTATGTGTTCCGCAAAAACTTGAAGACCTTTGGTTCCTCCTGTCCTGGCTACGTCTTCGGAACTCGTTCCCTCGCTCGGCAAACTCGTTGTTCTTCTTTCGACGCATCCCCGAATGCAGGCCGTTTCACTTGTCGTTGCACCGCTCTTCTCGCGGTTTCTTCTTCAAGATATATCCATATGCAACTGTTGTTGTTTCTTTTTCGACCGTGTTTGCTTTTTCCCATTGTTAGTTTCTTCTCGCAATTACGTCTTTCGAACTTAAAAGGGGAGCTAAGGATTTCTTCATTGGAACATTTTTTTTTCTTAAAAATTTATGAGGTCCTAAAAAGTAAAATGGTTTCATAGAATTTGTTTAATAGCATAATAGATCAGATATTGTTTGTTTGCGGTTTAGTGTGATTTCAGTCAGTTTGCCCTATTTCTGTTCAATTCAGTTCGACACAATTTTATTCCATTTGTTTCAATATGGTTTAACGGTGCCATTGACTTTGATCCATTCCCATTTGACTCAATTCAGTTTGATTTGTTTTGATACAGCGTGGTCCGATCCAGATCGGTCCCGACTTTTCTTTGTTTCAATTGATTGTCAATTTAGTTTTTTTCTGTATGATATCCTTTACTTCAATATTACCTTAATCTCGTTTAACTTACATTATATATTTAAATATATTTCAATTCAGCGAAATTCTATTAATCGTTTTATTCCTGGCATAGTTCAACGTATTAGAAACAAGCCGAAATAAAATACAAGTTTCACAGAATTCGAGGCGAAGTTATGCGATACTCGCCAGAACGACGCCGCTTTTGCGCAGAATCATTTTTATGGCAAAGAATCCGGCCACTTTTTCTGATTCTTTCGGCCCACCTTTCTATACCGCGTTCAGAGGCCGCGTCGTGTCCTGCCTTTTACGGTGCACGTTGCCCGCCTCGGAAGCCGCTAATTAGCTTTGCTCGCGTTCATCTTTGAACGTTTAATCGAACCGGCTATATTCAGAATCCCTCGAACACTGCACTGATTCACTTTAAACCAGGTTACTTCGATTCCGGACTAGCAACAGAAATTCATAAAAAGGAGGATTACGTCGTAACATGAGTATTTCAGACGAGAAGGTAACCATAACCTCACTTCCACTAATTCTTTCCACTAATCGTACTTATTTTTACTTATACTAAATTACACGAGATCAAATCCGATAACGACTGGATATTAATGAATATTTTTCTCTACGAACGTAGAGAGACGTGAAAAACACTTCATAATATAGACGAATCCGAAACGACCGATAAAACTAGGTATTTTTATACATCGAACGTCATACGAACGATAATAAACAGACTCATAAAATCGAGTTATGGCCACGGTTATGAAATAATCTCCGTTTGTATGTACAACACCGAAATATTTCACGATCTTTCGACATCGTCGTGTGCTGAGAACTTTCTCGATCACGACCGACTTACCGCTTTGCGTCGTCGAAAAAGGAGAAGAGAGTCGAGGAATCGGTCGAAGTGTGAACGAGCGATCTATCGACGCTGCAACGAGGGGAATGTGCTGGTATAGTGGAGATTAACGGTGCGTGTTGTTCGACGCTTTCCTTTCGTCCCTTTGCTATGCGAGTTCTCGATAGACAGGCTGACGAAATTAACCCTTCGAACTGCTGTTGTTTATGGTTTGGATATGAAGATAGACTATTTTATAAAAATTTCTTTGTAGCACCATTCGTATAATTATTATTTACTATGATGATTATAAAATATTTTCCAAGTATAATTCCAAGTAGTGGTAAGCAAAAATAATAGATTAACCAATTCTAAATACAGAGATAAATCTAAATTCGATTACCAAACGCAAGAGATTCCAAATCTATTTTGTTAATAAAATAGATTTTGTCTAAGCGCAATACAAAATATTAAAAAATCGAAAGTGACAAATTGATCAATCCCGTTTCGGACACAAGAAATATCAAAGTAAGATATTGTCCAAGTGCAGCTCAAAAGTATTGGGAAATTAAAGCGGCGAACTAACCAACCCTATTCCAAGTAAAAGAATTCTCTAAGTGATATACTATCCAAATATTCAAAAACAATCCAAAACATTGATCCAAAGTGGCTCAGCACGCTTTTCGAATTACATATCAGTGTAATCATATCAGCGTAGCCAATATAGCCACGCAGCATATTCTACCGTGCATTTCCATTCCGCTGATCAACAAACCCATTCCACTTTCTCATCTTCTCCCATTTACCAAATATCCCTATCAAACGACACTGATAGCCCTGCATCGTTACCATATACGATACTCTAGGGATCTTATTAACCGTCAGCGATTAAGACGAGGCTAAATAGAAGGAATAAGTGGCGCGTGCGCGTTTCTACGGAAATCGACGGAGGCGATGCAGATGGTAAAGAAGCCAAGTGGATTCACGGAAAGATCATTAGACCAAAGACAAGAAGGACAGATATAATACGGTTAGACAGAGAGAAGCATGGCTTTTTACACGCGTTCGTTAGTGCAACGCGAAGCACGGTTGAAATGCTATGAAAACGCAGTCCCTGAGAAAAATCGCGCTGCCCCCGCGTACTGACCAAGCTCGAGCACGCGTGGAATGCGACAAAACCCGATTTCGCGTCCTTTTTTTCGGTTCGTTACACTACTGATAATCGGGGAGGACGATTTTACTGGAATCGCGAGCTCGTTGGCGGTCGGTCACGTATCCACGACCACAACTCCATAGCCCTTCCCCCATCCCATGCCCCTCCCCCCTCGATTAGACGGTTTATTAAATATTTCAACCGCCATTACTTTGGACGTGGCTAACTCCAAGGGGTAGAAAGTCATTTTCCAGTTCATTTCGTGGCTAGTTTTTTTTTAAATGACGTGTGACGACTTCGAAGGGTGAATTCAGAATTGGAGAAAAATATGTATCACATTACGTGGATATCTGTAACAAGAGAATTCTATTGACTTTTTTCTCGTATATGGAATTATGGTTGATTAATGGAATTAACCATATATCCAATACACGATACACCGTTTTCTACAATGTATTTTTCTATACTATAATATTCTCAAATTTTTAAAACAGCAGATTGTGACAAGCCAAAGTCACTTTCAAATTCCCTAGAAATCCCCCAGATGCTCAAGTTCTTCCCGCAATACTTTTGCATACGTTTACCTCTTCTTCAGACGTAATCATTTATCATCAATTATGATTCATCACCCATCACTCTACTCATCTGTCATTTTAACATTCCAGCTCTACTTCCTCTTCTCCCCCCTCCCTTTACTCAATATTTTACACGGCCGTTGCATCATCAGAACCATGAAGAGAGTTTCCGCAGGTGCGCTTGACCACGTGGCTATCAGGATGGCGTTCGTGCCTTTCCAAAATCGTTAATCGCGTTTAATAGGCAGATTTACGGGTTTTTGCGTGGCCGTGGCCCGCGCCTGTTTCGCGCTCTACACGTTGTTTACGCGACCGCGTACCTACACTGCCGTTTGTCAACTGTTAAACACTGGTCACCCTCGCTCCTCTCCCATTTTCCACCCCTATAGGCCGCGGGCGATAGCGAGGTTCTCTTGATTAACGAGACACCCCATATATATCCGGCACGCCCTCTCTCCCCGTTACCTCCGCGTCCATTGCTTGGGGGAGATCGCATTGTTGCATTCGTGCTTTACTGCATATTGCACTGCTGCCACGATCGCTATGTTGCCCTCTGACGTTTCTCTGATACCAGTTGCTGTGCCTTGAAACAGACGGTTCACCTGTTCTGTTTATTAAGGGTGGTAGAACGTGGCATTAGAGTGCCTTTTGTTGTTTGGAGGTTATGTTGTTATTGATGTTTGATATTCGCGGAATATTTTGAAGGTGGTTAAGATTTGCTTTGATTCAGTCAAATCGGTTATAATATGCTTTAAAATGCTTTATCTTTACATCCGCTTCGATTCACCTTAAATCGCGTCAATCCGCTTTCATTTGCTCCGTTCCGTTCCAATCGTCTTCGATCCGCTTTGATTCGCTTCGATTCGCTTTGATCTGCTCCAAATAACTCCAATCCGTATCATCTCCCGTCAACCTTTTTCGATACGATTGCACTACTTCGCCTATATTAATCTTTTATTATATATTAAACATTAGAGTGGATTGATCATTGAAATACAGCTTTGATCGTAACATATTGCAATATTTCAATGGTCTACGCTGCCATTGTGGATTCGACCTTAAAACTTTACCTACCATCAGCGATCCTTTGAGTAATGCGTCTGGTTGGGCTTTAACTTGAATCACCTCGTATATGTCGTACGCGGTCTCGTTGTTTTAATGCAGCGTTAACCATCGATTGCTGATCGAATCAATATACGATAAGCATGTTAAATGTTCGTCCCAGAGAGAGTTTCGAAATTCCAATATTTGTTTTCTCTTTATTAGGGTTCGGTTTACACGTATGAACACACAATATATATATTGATGACTATGTTCTGTACTGTTGTTCGGGATAATCTTGCATTAGATCCACTTCGATGAAAATAAACGTCACCTCTTTTGATCATAACTCAATTCGAAGTTTATTGGTTCCACTTAATTCGATTCGGTTCATTTCGTCACAGTTTGGTACAAGTTAACGCACCGTAATTCTGTTTCTTTTAGTCGAACGCAATTCTCTCTACTTCCGTTCGATTAATTTCATTCGTCTCGAATCTGGTCACTTCGTATCGCACTGTACTCCATCCCGCGTAATTTCATCGTAAGAACATCCAACATGGCGGACAGTCAGAATTCTACGAGAACCATTCATTACCAGGCATTATAGTTCCATGTAACCATTTTGTAAAAATGATTCCACGATAATTCTCGACCTCCTAATAACCTCCCTTACAAACCTACCAACCATCGTAGCTATGAACTATCTCCCTACAATCATCATCACTCCTGCGCACCATACGTACCCAATACACGATCCGAGCACGATGATTGCAGCAGAAAAAGAAGCCTGTGCACGTCCTAACGAAAAGAAGTCGAATTCACGCGGTGTATACGTGCACGCGGTCAAACTGGCATAAGTGGTGGGGTTAGGATTGATGGTAGGGGAAGAGGTAATAAGAAGGACCAGAGCTACGAGAGTCTACTCTTGGCCGTAGAGCAGTAACGACGTACGGTTAAGAGCAGGACAGTGAGGGTGGGAATTAAATAGGGTGGACTCTTGATTAGTTTTCTCGTCCACCCTGCTTCGAGCACCCCAGATCACTTCCACGCTTAATCCAGCATTATGAATATTTTCTCCTCGTCCCACAGACGGACTTACCAAATGAGGAAAAAGCATAGTGTGGTTCTGACCAATGAATATACAGGTTCTACCGTATACTCATGTTACATATCGTATCTTGCGACGAATTTTATTATGGCGCTAGTGCACCTTCTGCCTAGAATCGGCGATTATGCTGGTCCATCGCATCGCTGATTGAAATTGTAACTTGAAGAAGATGGGAAGTTAAAATGAGTTGGGATTCTGAAATCTGTTCTGTGTCGAGATAACGAAGCTAGGGGTTTTTGCAAAAATGTTTAATCGTATGGATTGATTATTTTGTGGGCATTAAGGTTCATGAACTTTACAAATTCACCGGTGATTTGGGCCAGATTTTAGATTAGATATTTCGAATCATTGCCATCGGTTCTTTATGTTCTTATATTCTTCCACATGGACCATCTTTGATAACTCTCAGGCGATCTCCAGTCACCCGAATAAAAAAATTCTTACTGCCCTAATATCTGTAAATCTTAACCCCTACTCACGTAGCCCGACACTTCAGATTCCGTGTTATTTCGAATTCCGTCGGTTCTAAGAATTACGAAGCAAGATCTCGAAAGTTCCGAGCGAGATTCGCGCGTCGCCAAAAAGGTTTCCACTTCAAAGCGGAGGAAGCCGCGGATGTTAAATAAGTTTGCTCGACTGACGTCTCCGAGGGCGGGGAAGATCCGGTCGTCTTGGTCCTGTGAAGCGTCGGGACGCATTTCAAATGCCGTCGCGTCGCGAGAAAATCGCGCAGAGAAAGACAGGGTCTCTTCTCCGGTCGTTTTACGAGACTAACCTCTCCTCTCAGATGCCTAACCTCCCTCTGTACCCTGAGAATGAATCTCTTGCTGGGTAATTAGGCAGATTACTTTCCGGAGTCGTTCTGCTGCCGGTTTCTTACTCGACTCTAGGCTACGGTATATATTTCGACCACTGGGGCGGAGGGACAATTAAAGGAAGAAATTCTTTGGTCCCCTTCGACAATCGGGGACCAGGAGAGTAGAAGGGTAGCTATACTGTTCGGTGTCGTGTGCCCTGTGCGTTCGTGGCGATTCGAGCGGGGCTTAAATTTACCGCAAAGCTAATCGAGCAAAAGGCGCGTTTCTAGCGGAAGTAATGCCGCATTTAAAGAGCTCCGTGGCGGGTCTCCACTTCGAGAGACGGTGCCATGATTACCGAAAATATCTCGCCCCGGTGGGAAGAGAGCACAGTTTACGCAGAGGTGGAACAGAAGAACGCGACCATAACCGATGACTATGCGTACACTGTAGACAAGCGGTGAGGGGATATAGTGGAACGGTGGTGGGGATAAGACAGTTGGAAGAAGATAGGACGTTGAGAGGCTCGGTGAATAGAGGGAGACACTACACTACAGAGTTGGTACGGCCAGGCAAGAATGTACCGTTTTTATTTACGAGCCATGGAAGATCCAGGTCTCGACCGCGGCGGTCTCCTCCCGTTAATTAAATAATATTTCTCGAGAGAGAAGCCCACGGGAGCAGCAGCGTAAAGCTACGATAAGAGCCCAGAGGGGGGAAACACCTCGCGTCGACGAAAAAAACATGGCCCTGCTAAGAGCACTTATTGCAGTATTGAGATCGTAATTCAGAGCCAAGGCCTCGTCATAAACGTTCCCTCCGGCCGGACCTTTGGCCACTTCAACCTTTTCTTTCCGCTCCTCCTTCCTTATCCACTGTTATTCTTTTACTTCCTGTTTCCCCTTGCGCCTTGTATCTTTCATCGGACCAACTTGTGCTGAGGCAGAATGGTGGGAGGACAACTCCTCGTTTCTAGGTCGTCATCGTTAACGACTTTGGGTTGTGACCCCCCGGTCATCCTGATGGATCACGCGAAAATTGAGACCGCCTGGTCGCGTTCGAATCGACCAAGGGTGAGTCAGAGGTGGGCTGGTTCGTTTAAACTGAACAGGTTTATTATGCCGGGTCGTTGGGTTTGGTTACTTGCAACTTTGGTTTCATTTGAGGTTAGCGTCCCTATCTATGGTCCACTGAATGAAGGGTTCTTTTTGTTTCTTTCGGTTAATCTTCAGTTATTCAATTCCAAAAGTGAAGTAGAAATAAGATTCCATTATAGCATAGATTTATTAAAAATAAACAAACTGCTGGAGGTGAAATATTGCTTTAATCACACTAACTAAACAATATTATTAGTAATAGATTACAATGTCAAAACTTACATATTAATTAAAAATACAATAGCGTAACGATAATATAATCTGTACTTAAATAATCTTGAAAGAATTTAGTCCAATTTCTTCAGTCGCTAGGATCGTGATATACATATATAAAGTCATGGAATTTCATAGAAATTGCGATCGTCCGTTCGCCATTAACGCTGAGAGAACTCGATCCGTTCGTTAGGTTATCTCGAGTCTTTCTTTAGGAGTGCGTACAAGAACAACATCGAGTGCCGTGAGTAATCGAGAGCACCACAAATGCACCTGATATCACGAACTCTGAAACAACCATTATTACTTGCGATTTTCGATAATTTTCTTTTTCCTTCAATATCTTTATGTGTTTGAGTCTCATGAAGCTATAAACTACTTTGCCATAAACAACGATAAATTTTTCTGAAAGCGATTAAATTTTATCTATATTAATGGAGTTCTTACAGGCGAGATAACTGGTTCCATGAAACCTTATCTTTCGAGTTTACCAGCAGCCAAAAAATTACGAACCACCTGTCTTAATGAATCTAAGTTTTATTTGGTTCTTTGAGGCTGGTTTCTAAATTGAAATTTTATCTCCCAATAAAAGATCCATCAAGCATCGTTTAATGCATGCTCGGCATTATTCAGTATTATCACGATATCGTGCGCCATTTTGTCTGCTCAAGTTTCTTTCTAGGTCGAGATAAATTTTTAATAATCTTTATATTTATGCAGAAATATTTAACTTAATAGAAATTATATATCATAAGAAAAAAATACGTCTAATTGCTTGATTATTATTTATCCCGAACTGTTTAAGGAAGTTGATAATTTCTTTTTTATTACTTTTTTGAAAGTATACCCATATATGGTTTAATAAAACCCGTAAGTACGAAATATGTACTGTGAGGTTATAATTTGTTCACATTAACGTGTTAGATACCAAGTGCTAATAATCTATGTACATAAATAAAGATAAGCTTTCTATCTGGTCTATAACACGCTTAAGGTATCTCAAATAGCCCATTGGATACCACAGCCTCGTCCTAAGAAACACATCATCTGTCCAACTTCACTGTACTCCTAGGAATACTGTTACTTTCGCTTTTACTGCATGCTTGCGTCTATTTTCATTGCACGAATTGCGCTTAAAACGTCTTCCAATCCTGGGAAACAATTAAAGGATCTAATTAAATGTCATAATGTTGGATCTTTAAAAAAAATTACTTAAATCATTATTATGAATTTCCATTTGGTCTCCTTAATTGAAGCATCTTTTAATCGAAAATTTCTATATACGTAGAGCTAGAAGTTAATGAAGACAAATTAATTTCAACTACGTTTGAATTTCAATTCTTTCAAATATGAAATGAAACAACGCATTTGAAATTAGGAGAGTCTCAAATGTTAGGGATCTGGGTATGTGCAAAAGACGATCAAAAGATGCAAAAGATGATATCCAAGTGACAAATTAGTTTAATATAGTAATATTTACTATAAATTCTCCTGTACGTTGAGCTTGTGTTACCACTTTCCTCCATTCATCCTTGCACACCACGCCATCTGCACTCTCGAATTTAAATAAAAGTGGCGCATTAATCTCGCTTATGGCCGACCGTTTCTTTCTTCCCCTTTTTCCCTCTTTCACGCTTTTCCGTCTGATTCTTCTCAACTACGCATTACTTACCGCCGCTATTTCCTCCCCGCCCGCCTCTTTCACCGACTCGTCCTCGTTTTTTGAGCAGTTTCGTTGAGACACGACTCGTCGTCGCATTCCTTTTTCTCGCATTTCACTCGGCAAACATCGCGGTCGTTGTCCCGTCGCGAGTCTAGGACACGCGGCGCCCGGCATCCGCCGGCGTCTGGCGTCTCGGCGCCCGCTTCCCTCTCCCCTATCACCCTGTGCTCTGACCGGTCAACAGTCTTTCTATATCTCTCTCTTTCCATGGACCAATCGATGGAATAGACGAATTGGCAACATTTCTGCGACTCGCGCAACTGCACCACTTCGTGATTGTTCATCTAGGTAATTCCTAGGTGTCACTACCTGGGGATTAATATGGCGTTGGATGGCGTGATCGTCTGGCCTGCTGGATGAGGGCAGGTATTTTTTTGGTTGCTCTGAAATGATTGATACCTCGAGGATGTAAAAGTAGCGGAGAGTTGTTTGTTGATTGGGTAAATTGGTAGTAGTTTTCAGTTTCTTGCACAGTTTGCTTGAATCATGACGAGGAAGAAATTGCTTGATCAGTTTTTATAAGGTTAAATGGTTCGTTGATTTGTTGTGAAGAATTAAGTAGGTAGTAGAGCGAGTGTTGAGATGTGATTTGGATTAAGTGAGTATTAACATTTTTATTTTGGACTCATTTCCTAATTTTATTACATCGTTAATTTGACTATTTACTGTTTTCTGTTTATTTACTATTGAACCTGTTTTGTTTACATTTTCGATTTTATTTGTTTACTTTCTGTTTGTACATACATTTTGTTTATGGTCCATTCATTTATATTCTGATCTTGTATGTTCAGAGTTTTGATGTAT